CATATATGTAAATCGGTAACCATTCTACCAATTTGTACCAAACTCGGTGTGGTTATTGTGCTTGCCACATATAAGCAAAACGTTGAAAATTATTGAAATCGGACTAAAATTACGGCCGCTTTTCATATAACGGTAAATTTCAGAAATGCTTGAAACTTCCATATTTCGAAATTTAAAAACGGTAATTTACTCCAAATTGATACACCCCGGCTTACCATGTAGCGGTTGCTTTCGGAAAGGTGAAAAAATATATATTTAATACTTGCGCCGGGTATTTAATGTTCGGCTCCGCCCGAACTTAGACTTTCTTACTTGTTAATATTTCGAATACCGAAAAAATTAACTGAACTCTCAAGAAAAACGAAAAATTCACATAAAACGACGGACGAGAAATGGAAAAGAAATTTTCTTCTACTAAAATTTCTTAAATCAGTTTGCAGCTCTCAAGAAAAAAATGCTCGTATATTTATTTCCTCATAGAAATTTACAGCAAAAGCAAAGCGCTTTTTCAGGCAACAAATTATAATAAATGTTTCTTATAATTTCCTTGAGCTGGATTCTTAGCTTTAAGATACAGTTTGTATTTGAGGTTATTAGTTTTAGGGGGGGTTTGAACCCCAAAACCCACCCCTTGTGTGCGCTAATGCGTATATACATACATATCGTCGTTTAAAGTACAAAACCGCGTATCGTCGCTCTACAATACCGCGTAACTGACATTTTGTGCCAAAAATTGTATTTGCTCACATAAGCTCTGGGCTCTATCCTTATCCATTAGTCCTGCAATATACTAGCCAGAAATGCGATTGCTTTATAAAAAAGAGAACCATTTTGAAATATGAGTGTTTTTACTCTCTAGAAAATAATTCATGCAACCTCACCTACGCGGTTTTGCATTTTCTTGATACGCGGTTTTGTACTTTAAACGACGATATGTAGATTTGTTTGCAATACGGACGCTTTTTAGTTTTTTTTTGGTTTCGCTAACACTATATTTACTCTTTTTAGAAAAGATTTACTGCAAAACTGCATACGTACTCAATTTTTTTCCAAAACGAGTAATTACACACATTTTATGAAATTTTGCAAAAAGTTTGGAGTTTTTTGGAGTTTTTGTTGTAGTATTAGCAATAATTTTATATAGCATTATTTCCAAGAGGCTTCGAGGAGCCCTTTAGTCGGAGGAGATAGAGATGCAGGTCACTTTGGTCTTTGCTTTCTCAAGTTAGAAAGGTGAGAGTTGTCCCATTATTTTTTTGTACCAGCTTCCAATTCAAATTTCACGGATCGAATCGGAATTAAAATATCGACAAAAAATCTAATCGGAAGGGCTCGATTAATCGATATTCGATTTAATCGATTTAAAGACGGCATCTATGTAGTATTTATGAACCCTCAGGCGCGTACCTGTTGAGGAACTTGTGTTTTTTTAGCATTTGCCTTAAGATAAAAAACAAGATTTTAACCAAATAAGCTAAAGAGAAATAAGGTAAATTAACCAGATACTTCAACTGCTAGAGTAAACGCTTCGTAAAGATTAACCGTTTTTTTCATAGCAAAATCTGCCAAAAAAGAAATGGTTTTCTGCATTGACTTAAATTAAAAAAAAAATAAAATTTAAGGATGGATCAGTGCACCAAAACCAGGACGTCTGGCAGCCCTAAGCTACAGCCAAAATAATTATGTAAGCGTGTTTTCAAATGTTAAGTTTGAATTACAAGGAGCAAGCAATTGTCCGACAATGCATATGATTTAAACTACTTTAAAATGCATTGGGCTCATATAAATTAAAAGCAGTGGCCGAAATGCTGCATTTGTTTCAAAGTAATTTATTTATAGCTCCTTTTTCAATTGGATAATTTTTGAGATTGTATGCTTTATTCCGACAGAGGATGTTTATATTTACATAACAAAAATAAATGTATATATAAATATAAGGAGCAATATGTGAAGTATCAGCTAAGAAAACTCTTTGTTGCATGGGCAGCAGGTGATACATTTTTTTTTTTTAATTTACTCAATTTTCTTACTTCGCGACGTTAGGCTGATAAAAGGGTTGATTGCCGCTCCTGCATCAGTGGCCTATTGTTGGAAATTGCCCTTAAGGAAAACTCACTTTTAAGGCATGCACTTAGTTATCAGTTGCTGTCCGTTTCTTCTTCGCGTCCTTCACATTTTTGATGTTGATTAATTGTGTTGTCGCGAAACAACTCGCACTGCGCCGGCCTTTTGGTTTTTCTATGAGCGGCGGTGAGTGCGTCAGAGGCACAAATCGCCACACCTTTCTCGTAAAAATGCACAACTGTGACCCTCACTTGCAAAGTTAAATTAAAAAATTTCACTGAAGTCAAGTAGTCAACAGTATTTTATTTAAGTTTGATTGACTGCGAAAACATTTGGCACTGCTGTTTGAAATATAGATGAACAAGACAATTCAGCGTGCGGCTTAAGCCTCAAGGCACTTGCAGGAAGTTCATAGCTTTAGCTGTCACTTTGATTTTATGGTCTTAAAATGTGGTTTAGCGATAAAGAAAGTTACTTGCCACAAGTAAAATTTCTGCGAAATATCAGTATATTTATCTATTTTTCAAATGCGTTTTTTGAATATAAAATAACTTTAAAAAGTTTCATCAAATCATTTTCAATCCAAGTAACTAAAGTGTAATCTAAAGTTTGCATGGTTTTTCTATTGCTCTTAATTAGAGCCCTCAAAATATGAAATATGTATTTATGTAAATTTAAATTATTCAAAATATGTATATACATACATAAATATGTATGCACTATTTACATATGTACATATTCACAAACTTGATTTTTTCTGCATTTTTTTAGCAAATGGTTCCTACCAACCTGGCATGGAACCGAAACGGCAGCGCACCGCCTACACACGCCATCAGATACTCGAACTGGAAAAGGAATTCCATTACAATCGTTATCTCACTCGTCGCAGACGCATCGAAATCGCACATACGCTGGTGTTGTCGGAACGGCAAATAAAAATCTGGTTCCAGAATCGACGTATGAAGTGGAAAAAAGATAATAAATTGCCAAATACTAAGAATGTGAGGAAGAAAACGGTAGACGCAAATGGAAATCCAACACCAGTAGCGCCGAAGAAATCAAAAAGGGTTAGTGCTAAGAAACAGGCGCAGCAACTGCAACAGACAACCCAGCAACAGTCGCAACAGCAACAACAAAAACCAGTGATAAATGAGGTAAAAGGAAATGTATTTGTTTGCATATACATATGTCCATACATTAAGGGTGTTCTCACTTTTAACATTCAAAAAAAAAAAAAATAAAAAAATTGTGAAGAGCAAAGCGTACATACACGTTTGTAATTGAAGGTTTGCTCGAGGCAAGGCGAATTTATACAAGGTGGTGTTGATGGCGAGTTAAATTTTCGCCGTGGTACTACTGAATGTCAAAATGATGTGTTTGTTGTAAACAACGCGAATTCATTTTACAACAAACACATAATTTTGACATTAAGACGTACCTCGGCGAAAATCTAAATTCGCCATCAACACCACCTTGTATAAATTCGCCTTGGCTCGAGGCTAGTTCTTCGCTTTGCTCGCCGCATCATTATGTTTTTACCTTAAAGGAGGATCGCGGCGAATTCAACATCGATAACAAAAATTTTTTTTCCAAAATATTCTCGAACAATATACAACGGATACATTTCATCTCTCGTTTAGATTCTGGCATAGTCAATAATCATATGTTTGTCAATGTTTATGGCGAATAACCAAAACTTAAAAAAACAAAACGGCTAAGCTTTTTACGCCAGACTTTTAAATCGGAAACCGACAAAAGAGAAAAGAACGAGTCTGGAAAATGACAAACAACCAAGCAAGCAAGAAGCATAAAAAGTATTCCACCGAGGAATGCAAGGCGAATTTATACAAGGTGGTGTTACTGGCGAATTCAAATTTTCGCCGTGGTCCTTCTGAATGTCAAAATGATGTGTTTGTTGTAATATGAATTCGCCTTGTTTACAACAAACACATCATTTTGACATTCAGAAGGACTGCGACGAAAACCTAAATTCGCCAGTAACACTACCTTGTATAAATTCGCCTTGGAGGAATGCCTGGTCTGAGCCACTTCTGGCCAAATGATCAGATGTCTCATTACCAGGTACTCCTGAGTGACCTGGCATCCAGAGTAAAGCAAACTCATTATGTTTACCACCATAATTTAGCGGAGACTTGCATTGCCGAACTAGTTTGGAAGTAGTTAGAGGGCTGGCCAATGACCCAGATCATGACCCAGTCAGTTTTGGAGCCATCAGTGAAGATTTGACAATGTGTGAGGTCAGTCTCAGTCTCAGGGAACTCAACATTATAGAATCTCTTCACCAAAGGTAATGGTGGCGTACTAGCCTGTAGCATTGAAAATACACAAGTGCTTAAATCTCTGCCGCCTGCAATTTCCGCCGCGCCCACTCAGTGTTATACGAACATCCATTTCCTTTTAGTCTGCAGGTGGCAAGTCGAGTCTCCCTTGTACCCCTGGGGGTACACCTGGACCGCTTTGGGAATCACTGGTGTAGACGATAGCTCGAGCAAAAATTGAGATATCGCAACGAAATTTTGTATGTAGGTTGCTCTTTATCCAAGGTAGGTTGGTATTGAAAATACTGTATCGCACGGCCACTTCACCAATCGTTACCAAACTTGGTACGAGCCTTGCCTAGGGTATAGCTAAGAAATCTGTTGAAAATCTTTGAAATCGGACAATAACCACACCCAGTTCCCATATAACGGTAATTTACAGAAACACGAAAACTGGTAAATCAGTAACTACTGAAGCTAGCTCACTTAAAACCGATTATTGTATCAACGATTTGGCATAAAATTAGATCATTATACATTTTTGGAAAATGGATGTGGTGCCGCCCACTTATGACCACAAAAGTGGATCTCGGTAACCGATTTATAAATTTCTACCAAACTCGCTGCACTTAATAACCTCGGTACAAGAAAGAAATTATTCAAATCGGACTAAGATTGCACCCGTTTTCCGTATAACTGTAAATTTAAGATATACGAAAACTCCGAGAAAAACACCCCTGCTTATCATGCAAATGTAGTTTAGAGAAACTTGAAACGAAGATATTTGATACCTGGACGGGTCAAGATTTATATACATACTAGAGTGCCTGTTAATGTCGAAATTCGACAGTTTTTTTAGTTTTAGAAGCCTTGGAGAGGTTTTCAAACTTAACACGTAGCAAAACTTATACGGTACAAATTAACTAATCGGAAAATCTTCTGCTAAAACGTAACTAACTTTTTTTTATCTGAGAAGGTCTTTGGAGGACTTCGGCAGGACTTGGAATTGACCCGATACATTCAAGTTTATCGATAAATTTCAATGATTTGAACACTAAAATTCGATAACTTAACAAAATTTGTTAACTCGACCAATATCGATAACTGTGAAATTCGATGGCTCGATAAATTTCGATAACTCAAAAATGTACAAACTTTGGATACCTTTAAAAACTTTTGACATCTCCACATTTTTTGAAAACTATCTAAACATTTGGATAACTCGTTACACTCTGTTAAGACGATTAAATTCGATAAGCAGTGATAAATCGATAAGCTTATATAACATTGAAATTTCGATAAATCGATATATTTTGAAAATTCCATAAACTTCGATTCGTTGAACCAACCAATTTCAGTAGATCAATAATTATCGATAACTCTGTAAGTTGAAAGAACTCCATGCATTACGACACTTCGAAAATTTCGTTAAGTCTATAAATAATGATAATTCAATAAATATCGATAACTTGATACATTTCTTTAACTTGACAAATTTCGTTAATCCCACACGTTTTTATAGCTCGATAACTATCCGTAAATTTGGACAACTAAGTTTCTGTGTTTATAAATTACCACAACTCAGTAAACATTGATCAGTTTGAATAATTCGATGCGTTGCGATAACTTAATAAGCATAGATAAATTTCGATAATTATAAAGTTCGATGATTCGATAAATTTCGGTAACTTTTATGGCTGATTTTATTTCGATTCCTATTGGAAAATTTCACTTCAGTTACCCTAATTCTTATGTATGTATGTCTCATTGTCTCCATTTTCGTCTTTATCTCCATTTTCGTCTTTATCTTCACGTTTTCCTTCTTTTTTGTCTTCATCTTCATATTTATCTTTATTTCAAAGTTTAATTTCAAATACGAAGTAAAACAAAATGCGAAACAGCTTAAATTGAACAGGTTGCAAAAACAACCATACACAAATATGGAAATCTTTAAACGACGATTTTCAACCAATTTCGAAACTCTAAAAACTCTCCTCATCTACATAAAATTACCTTTCTAACGGTGTTTTTGTTTTGAAATCGGTAAATTTACCTTGGTCTTCATATTTGTTTTTATCTTTCACATCTTTGCTTTTATCCTTTTATTTATCTATTCACGTAGATGAGATGAGGTGCGATGACGTGATAAGATGTGACGTGATTTTATATGTTGTGATAGGATATGATGTGATAGGATGTCATTTCACATGCTGTCATATCCTGTGATGTCATGTCATATGATGTCATACCATATGATGTCATATCATGCGATGTCACGTCATGTAATGCCATGTCATGTCATACGATGTCATATAATGTGATGTCATATCATATGGTGTCATATCACGTGATATCGTGTGATTTGATATCATATTATGTGATGTAATATCATGTGATATAATGTGATGTGATGTCATGTAGTGTAATAACAATATCTATACGCATATAGAAAAATATAACGAGTGCAAAATCGATTGATTCATCGATAAATATCACAATCATCAGTATCGATTATTATACATATCAATATCAATTACTAAATCGATAACAAAATCATTTTTTTAATAGATTATTATGCCGATAACAATATCCATTATTGTATCGATAATAATATCGATTATTATATCGATAACAATATCGATTACAATAGCGGTTATTTAATCAATAACAGTATCGATAACAATATCGATTATTTTATCGAAAACAATATCGAGTTTCATATCGTTAAAAATATCCTCATTCTTTTCTTCATATTTATCTTTATTTTTGCATATTCCTCTTCACCTTTACCTTGAAGTGTTTAAATTTACTTTAACCTTCGTTTTTGCCTGTACCTCTAGGCATCTTTGTTTTTGTTTTTATTCTCAAACCGCTAAACCGCTGAGAACCATTTCCATGTGCTTTATTCCCCTTGAATTCGACAATTTACTCCCAACCAACCAACTGCCGCGAAAGTAGTTTCATTTCATAAATTCAAGAAATGTTCTTACCCTTTCAGTTACCCTAATTCTTATGTATCTGTCATTGTCCCTATTTTCGTCTTTATCTTCACTTTTGCCTTTTTTTTACTTCATCGTTATCATTTATTTCTTCATCTTCATAATAATAATAATAATATATTGACGCTTACACATAAGTTAGTGTTTGGCCGAGCTTCTCCTCCGACTTGTGGCGTGCGCCTTGATGTTGTCACACAAAGGGGAGGGACCTACAGTTTTACGCCGACTCCGAACGGCGATTGTATTTTTATGAGAAGCTGTTTTTCATGGCAGAAAAACACTCGGAGGTTTGCCATTACCTGCCCAGGGACGACCGCTGTTAATATCTTATCATATTTATCTTTATTTCAAAGCTTAATTTCAAATGTGAAGTGAAACAACATGCGAAACATGTCAAATTGAACATGTTGCAGCAACATCTATACACAAATACGAAAATGTTTAAACGATGATTTTGGCCGTAACCAATTGTGAAACCATTAAACCCTGCTTATCTACGGAAAAATGCCTTTCCAACGGTGTTCTTGGTTTTGAAATCGGTTCGGTAGAATCGCCAAACGAACGGAGACAAAATTTATGTTAGCGTATTAATATATACATAGATAAGAGGTTGCGCAATGCGCAGGTCCGTTATTCTTCTCGCAAAGTNAACAATATCGAGTTTCATATCGTTAAAAATATCCTCATTCTTTTCTTCATATTTATCTTTATTTTTGCATATTCCTCTTCACCTTTACCTTGAAGTGTTTAAATTTACTTTAACCTTCGTTTTTGCCTGTACCTCTAGGCATCTTTGTTTTTGTTTTTATTCTCAAACCGCTAAACCGCTGAGAACCATTTCCATGTGCTTTATTCCCCTTGAATTCGACAATTTAC